CACCAAACTGGCTATCATATGCACCCAGACAAATATACTATTAATATATTTATGTTCAGTATCAGTTTTTATATTAAATAATTTCTTATATATGATTGCAATACATGATATCAATTCCATTTGTAATTAATAGTTAATATATCTTATTGTTTAGTGTTTGTTTTGATTGAAATAGCAATCTGTTAACTGTTCACATTCTTATTGTTGTGCATTCTATTTTTTTTCTTCTTTTCCTTCCATTATCCTACTTTTCCTCCATTGTTGGCTTACCTACCTTTGTTTCAAGTCTTAGTATGTGTTATGATATAATACAGTATTTTTTGATTATGTTCTACTATACAGGATCCTAATTACTTGGTCCCATAAAAATGGAAGGTCTTTTCTGTTTTGAACTTTTTTTTTAGTACGACAGTCTTATCTTCTGCTTCACTGCACAACAGGTCTGTTATTTTGCACATCTCATTTTTGCTCAACCTGAATAAGCTACCTCAAATAAAACTGAAATTACTTTTGCAGTTAGCGAAAGCGCAAATGCCAGCTGGCCTAAAAATAATTTAGTATGTGTTTATGCATAAATATAAGGCACTTGCCAAGTATTTTATAAATAATGCACTTTGGAGCTGGCTTCCAGAATTAAAGGTCAGCAGCAGCATTTTTTTTACTTTACTGTGCATAATTATACTAGCGTATAAAGCTCTGCAGGTGGATGAACAAAAAAGACAAATGATGGAGCTCATTTCATTGTTTCATATTCCTTTTCATAGTTCTTAAGAATGCACCTGTAAGTGTTCTCTCATTGCTGTCCTGTGTACAAAACATGGGTGACTGATCAGAATCCTACAGCAGCATAGTAGTGGCAGGAAAGCAGCATCTTTTAATCTTAGACATAATCCAAGAGACATTAATGAAATCATTTTCTTAATTCTAATTCTTGCTATATTTACTATGGACTTTTTAAAAACCCTGTAACAAAATATACAATATAATATACTCTCAAATCATTTATTAAATATAGGAGATTGAACAGGCAACTTTTTCCTAAAAACATGTATTCGGAAAGGTACTAAAGGTCTCCTGAGCATAGAAGAAATATTTCATTTTATAATAATTGACATGTTCCTCATTTTAATAGCTGCTGCATTGAAGACAGCTAATCAAATGGCTGCTACTTAAATTATTTTTTCCCTTTGATAAAGTAGTATTTAAAATCACAAAAGTGTAATGGTTCATCCTAAAATTAAATAATCAGCAGCTGACAGCTAAGTTGAAAATAGTAAGGTTTAAATCATCAATTAAATCAAGGATGCTGTAAAGAGGTTAATAATGATATGGTAGCTAAAGAGAAATGGATCCATGTGGACATATTCATATTAAAATTCCAAACAAAGATGTACCCTATATTGGATCAAATTAGTACCTGGGAATGTAGAGAAGTATAATCAATTATACTGCGATACTGGAGAAATATTTTGTTATTTTTTAAAATAATGCAGATGTATTATTTCAGATATTTTTCTGAATTTTTTTAGGAGCCAATGAAATAATATCTTTTTTTTCCCCTTAAGATTTACATGTGAGATTTAGCTTGGATTTTTGTAGATGCTGCTTTAAAAATAAATAAAGATGAATTTTCCACTCTAATACCATATTATAAGTTCAAAAACTTGCCTTAGAAATTACCTCCCATATTTCCCTGGGATTTAGCAATGTTGCACTTAATAATCTAAATTCTGAACTTTCTCCCATAAATAGGAACATCCCTTCCAACCCAGCAAAGTAGAATGTAGAGGAAGAAATGAATTGATGAGTATTAACATCCAAGAATGATTTCCAGCTGGGTAGAATTAAAAATAGGCCAGGGCATTGACTTCTCTGCTAATGATAGAATACCATGAAGAACAATCCAATGAGAGTGATGATGTAGAGCAACATTAAGTAGAATCTAAACTTGTATGGAAATATATTTAATAAAATTCATGCATATACACAGTAGATTGTAAAACTCTGTAAACTTGAACTTAGTCTGTTGACTCACTGCTTCCAACTATGTCTGCAGGATCTCTTTATTAAGGAACCAGTTTCCTCCTCTGATTTAGTCCTGCTATATGCTCAGGAGACTATCAATTACTTAGATTTTAGTCATAAATTAAGTTGTACCTGTTTATCTCTTAATTCCTCAGCTCTCAACTCCTTTTTTTCATAGATTGTTTATCAATCTTTTTACATTGCCCTGCCACATTTATCTGCCTTTTTTCTTGACCTTTTGTTTAAAACAATAATTATGGACTGATTGTTTTAATAACTTCAAGTTGATATTTGCTGGTTCAAAGAAAATGAATATATGTTCCAAATATAATACATGGACAATATGATCCCTAAATTTAGTTATATGTAAAAGAAATCTAATCTTTTTTTACCTGGTAGGTGTAATGAATTTTTAGAAACTACTCAACAATGGACTTCCCATACCAAACATGAAGATATACTGATACCACCTAAAACTTAAGTAAAAATCCATAGAAATATTAGCATATTAAATGTACAGAGCTTGAAATATACTGAACTATAAGGGCATTTTACATGTATTGGTAGATTAAATAGGATTGAATAGTCTTTCATTTGAGTGATTTGTTTCTTTGAAGTAGTCTAATATTATGAGAATAGTGGCTACCTTATACTTTCTATATACAACAGAAGTTATATTTCTGTTCTTGTAGAATGAGAATGTGTTATGATATCATTTTAATTATAAACATCATCTTCACCATTATGTCAAGAATAAAAACCAACCATTTTAGAAAAGACAATATTTTACCATGCTTCCCTCATCTGTATTTTCCTACCATTGTAGTGATTAATAATAGATATGTGGACAACTAGAACCATACTGAAAATCTTGGAACAAAGCAACTGCATACCAGAGTATACAAAATTATCAGGTATGATTCTGATATGATTGAAGTCTATATGTACAGAACATATAGGAGAGCCTAACTGATAACTTCCTGTATAATATATCTATATTCTATTGCAGTGATTGGGTTTATAAGAAAAGAAAAGGTAGTCAATTTGTCTGGATTATAAAATCAAAAAAACAAAGAGAACAAAGTGACCATTGTATTAATCTAATAAATAAATTTCTGATGTTAATGGTCAATTGCAAGTAATGGATAAATCTAAAGGAGATGCTTTTTACTTTAGCAAAAATCACTTCCCTTGATATTTTGAAGCTTACTCCAGGCATATAAGCTGCTCCTAGCTAATTAGATAAGTTCATTAATTCTTCTCTTTCATTCATTTTTCTGATTTGATTTGCAAATCAAATAACACTTTATTTTAATTTGCATGATAAAGTGGACTGCCATATTGCACAAACTACATGTTCCAAATGACTCCTTTAATAATGTTTTCTTAATTACTATACTACTTATAATAGTATTTTCTTGTCTCTTGCAAGTGAGAGGAATTCATTAACAAATAAAGATTATATCAAATCTGTATAAATAAGGAAGGATCAGAAGATCACATGAAAACACAAATATTAATCTGTCTATAAATTTAGATTAACAGTTTAATAATATGAGCACATTTACAATAATATTCTCTGCATTGCTATGAATCTTATTTAGCACAGTCAAAGACTATTACTGTGGGAAGATACCAAATATTCATATTGTGAGCCAAATCTTGATTTCTTGCACCCGAGAACACCTTTAAGAGTGCTGTTTTTAACACAGCTTTTATCAGGGGTGGGATTCAACCAGTGTTACTACCAGTTGGGTGATTATGTTTTGCCACACAAAGCAGCTGAAAAAGCAGGAAATAAAGGTCAGGTAACAGCCCGGGCGGCCGGGTGGGCCAAACAGCAGCAGACACAGAACCGGTTTGGTGTCTGCTGCTCTTCAGAGCTGCCGGTTCTATAGAGCCGGGCAGAACTGGTACCCATCCCTGGCTTTTACCCACTGTCATGACTACAACTTTGTTGAACTTCCATAGACCTTTCATAGAAAATTTTATCTGCAGGTGGTGTTAGGTATTAGTAATAGTCTATTATAAGATAGTTTATTATTAATTAGTCTAATAGCAGGTTTATTCCTGAAACAGCTCAGCATAGCTAATATGTAGATGAGGCAAAGGATAATTTAAGTAGAATGCATTGTGCAGGTTATTCTGTAGATGCATGAAACAATGCCTTTTTATATCACTGAACAACCAGATACGTGTGTACAATATGCAAATTTTTAGAGGTTCTATGATGAAATTATATTTAAATTTGGTGTCTAGGGAAAAGTTTCCTAACAAGTTTAATATATTTTCTTCACATATGAAACAAAAACTAAGAAGCATCTATGTTAACAAGAAGTCTCTTCTATGAGCATCTTTGGCATTGAGAAAGAATCTAAAAAATAGAGCCATATTTTTATATCTATATACCAGGGGTGGGCAATTAATTTTCCCTAGAGGCCACATTAGAAACTGTGATTGTTTTTGAGGGTCGAACCAATACAGCTGTGAAGGTGTGTAGGCACACATGCACGCACATAAGTAAATTAAAAAAAGTTACCTTCAAAATAAAAACAACGCAATTGTATTGTGTGCATGGTGTACATTTATTTACATGTGATTTGTAATTTTCAATTTACCTCATGCAGGCCAGATAGGGACAGCCAAAGGGCCAGATATGGCCTGGGGAGTATAAAATGCCCAAGTGTGCTATATATTATTCATATGTATAATGTCTGTGTGTGGGTGTGGATGTGTGTGATGTGTAGGCACAAACAAAAAGAACTTGCAAAAATATGTATGAATTTTGATCAAAAAGCACAAAAAATTAAAAAACATTTCATATCAAATTATATATGCAAAAACTTTTTAAATTCTTTTTTTTTTAATTTTTTTTTAAGTGGCTGAAGAAGTAAAAGTGGCATAAAAAAAGCAGTGGCAGTATGGAAAAAAATAAAAATACCTAAAAATACCTATTAAAGTAAATGTGGACTTACAGAGAGTAGAATTTGGATGGCACTATGAATGACCTCTAGATACTGAAAGTCAATTATGCAACCTGTCACAGAGACATAGGAAATATCATCTATGATCCCAGGAGCTGTAGGGCGCACCACTCTTCGTATGCAGCCTGGCCCATGTTCTCGCCACCAAGATCGATGCATTGAGATGTTAAAGGTCATGAGATCTGTTTCCTAGTAAACAAAACAAAAGAAAGTATTTTTAAAATAGAATTTTAATCATTTAATATGAAAAATATATTCCAAAGGAAGTAGCCACAGTCCAGTTTAAAACAATGGAGATGAAAATTGCCTGTGAAAAGAATCTGATCAGTCTCCTTTTGGAAATGTCACATGTTCTTACAACCTAGACAGGTATTTAAATCTCTATTTCCAAGCATGGCAATAAAGTATTAGCTGAACTATAAAATGAGCAGAGGCAAAATATCCCTTTTTTTGAAACACGGTGAGCTTCGCCAACATTTAGCAAATTTGATAATGTACAGAATATCCAAGATAATTCTGAGAAGAAATGTACAATTTTCTTTTCCCATGAATTACGGAAAGCATCTAAAGAATTCCAATTATTCATTACTACCTTAATGCTTTTGTCTACAAATCAAGGAAGGTTAGCTTTTAGAAAAAAATACAAATAGATTATTTCATGGCTTCAAATTCTAATGTACAGCTCGTTTTGCCTAGCATTAATCTCAGTGCAGACATAGCACTATCATACCATAATTAAAGCAGGAAACCAAAGGGACAGGGAAAAAATATACAGTATACGTCCAGTCGCTTAGAAGAACTTGAGACATACTGGCATAATGCTGCAATCTAGGTCTTACAAGGCCTGTAAATTGGATTCAGTTCCTTTTGATTTTAGATACTCCAAAAGCAAGAGGAAAAAGCTCTCTTTTTTCAATTCTTGGTACGCAGCCTTTGATTATTTCTTCATAAACTTCCTCAGGACACTACTCACCATCCTCAATTTTGTATTTTTCTTTGCCTTTTAATGTGGATATTAAGCTTTGGCTTTGCAATGTTCATTATTTTTTACTCTCTATTTTTCTTCCCTCACTCTTATGAGCTGGTTGTTTGAATAGCTTTTGCATGTTACAATATTCAATGTTCCATAGGTGTTATACAAAGGATATAATATGATGATCTGCTGGAATAAAGCTCAATGAGTCTTTCAGAAATAATGTTGAGATCAGATGACCTCATTAGAATGATAGATTGAGTCATTAGATGCCCATCATTTAACACTGCATGGTAATTCCATTAACAATATTTTGTCCTCTCACCTTATAAGAGCATCATTTGTTTAGATAAGACTAGTATCAAACTATACTTAACTGTCACTATTGATGTGCCAGTAATTTACAGATACAGTAATCTATCTAACAATGTGGAAAATATTGATTCAAGGAAAATATATATTGTTGATATTTAATATGCAAAACACTTGCAGTTCATCTATTCCAGTTTATGATGGTTATTTTTACTAACTAATTTGTTGAATCAATTTATGTCAATGAATTACAATGTTCAAGTTGTTATTGTAAAAGCCCAGGAAATAGGCTCTGTTGTTCCTACTGACTGCAATATAATTTTAGTTACATAAAACTATAGTCATAATGTAGTAATCACTGAAGGAATTGATAGGATTGAAAATGTTCTGACATTTTTGTTTCTTTATTAACGCTCAGCAGAGATTAGGATTTGCCACTCTAAGCAGGAATAGATGTTTTAAAATATATATATTTATTCCATATACTCATGAGACTTCTTTAGAACTTGACAAAGAATATACATGACATCACACATAATTTGTACTTCAGCTTCTAAGTTTGACCGTGTAGTCAGTTTTAGATCAAATTTAAAAATACTCTAGTCACTTGCACTTGAAAATAAATTGGAGATGCTCTTCAAGGACCAAGAAATTATTCAAACATTTCTACTATCTTTCAAGTGCTTTCATGAACCCCAAACCACATGGGTTTTATTTATTCTGAGCTTCCCTGAAACTGTGCTAACTTAACTCACCATCTCCAATTTTAAGTCTACAATGTGGCTGATTGTTAGTTGTTTTGTTCCTAGGGATTCTATAATTTTGTTTTTTAATGCTTGAAAGCTATACATAATTACATTTTTTGTGAGTTGGGCATTATATAAACCAATAAATAAATAAATTTTCTGTGCAATAAGGCAGAATACAAACTAGCACAGACATTTGGTCAATACAGAAGATTTATATGGGAAATGGTTTTTATTTTCACATTCTATAAATGTTTCAACATAAGGTACATTATATTGAAGCACAGTGACAGAAGAACAGGATATTGAAATAGGATTTAGGCTTATAACCGCTTCATAGTGCTTTTCAGCCCTCTCTAAGTGGTTTACAGAGCCAGCACATTTCCCCCAACAATTTTACTGATCCCAGAAGGATGGAAGGCTGAGTCAACCTTGAGCTGTTCAGAATCAAACTCCTGGAGTGAGCAATGAGTTAGCCTGCAGTGCAGCATTCTAACCACTGCACCTCCACGGCTCTTGAATGGATGAAATCTATTTCACATAAAATAAAATGTCTGTACCTTTACACAGCAAATAAATGTACTGCAAATAAATCTATCAATTGACACATCAGGAGAAATATTCTATTATTTGACATTTATTTATCAAATACCAAATAAAAATAGTTTGTCACAGAGAATCTACGAATGAGAACATCCAATTACCTCTTTACCAATTACATCAGATAAATGTTCATGTTTCCCAAAGGCTAATTAACACAGAAGTTTGAACTGTAAAAGGTTAGAAGATAACTATTCTTATTTATGAAGGGTTTTAAAGTAATGGAGACCTGCACTTTTTTAAAGTGATGAACATATTTAAATGTGAGTGCTTGGCAGTGAAGTTATTCAGATTTGTAGACAAATAGTCTCAGAAACAGACAAAGGAAATAAAAATATGGAAATAAAATATTATTTTGATTAAATCAACTATGTGCAAACAACTTAGAACTTATTCTTAAGAAGTACATAGGTAGACTTACAAAACATTCCATTCCCAACCCACTTCCTCAGACCTTATAAGGTAAATTGAGCACATCCATGATAACAGAATAATAGAACTGGAAGAGACTTTGGAATCCTTTAATCTAATCTCCTGCTCAAGTAGGAGTCCATATACCATTTTGAATAAATGGCTTTCCAATCTCTTCTTAGAAAATCTCTAGTAAAGGAGCATCCACAACTTCTGAAGGTAAGCCCTTCCACTGATTAATTGTTCTCTCTACAGATATTTCTCCTTAATTCTAGATTGGATCTCTCTTTGATAAACTTCCATTGATTACTTCTTTTCCTGCCCTCAGATGCTTTGAGGAATAGGTAAATTCCCCTTTATGTGTGACAGTCTCTCAAGTATTGGAAAACTACTATCATGTCAGCCCTAGTCCTTCTTTCATTAAGACTGGACATACCCAGTTCCCACAACTGTTCATCATACACTTTAGCCCTCAATTCCCCAATCACCTTTGTTGTTCTTCTGGTCACCCTTCTAGAGTCTCAACATCTTTTTGTGTTGTGGTGACCAAAACTGGATGCAGTATTCTAAGAGTGGTTTTACCAGTGCAATGTACAGCAGTACTTTACATGATCTTGATATTATCTGTCCATTGATGCAGCTGAGAACTGCATTGGCTTTTTTCGTAGGTGCAGCATACTGCTGCCTCATACTTAAGTGGCTGTCCACTAGGACACATAGATCCCTTTCACAGTTGCTGCTGTTGAGCCAAATACCATTTTTCTGTACTTGTGCATGTGGTTTTTCTTGTCTAAAGATCTTACTTTTCTCACCAATGAAATGCATTTTGTTAGGTAGGTCAAGATCTTTCTGAATTTTGAGCCTACCTTCTAAGACATTGGCTATTCCCCCTGGTTTGGTATTGTCTCCAAATTTGATGAGTTCTCCTTCTTTTCCTCATCTGTCACTTATGAAGATGATGAAGAGTACTGGCCTAAGACATAACCTTGGGGTATCGCACTGCATGCTTCCTTCATATAGTTGTGATATTTAACCTTTTTATTTAGAAGCCAATAATTAACCGTTAGGTTAATTTAACAGTGAAGAAGATCTGAAGGATATATTATAAATGTTTGTATATTTGAAGAAAATCTCAAATAAAAAGAAAATAGATCATGCAAATAAATAATGATACAGCAGTTAATGTGCAATGACTGATTGATGACAAGATTTGTCTAGTTCAAAAAACTATAAACCATGACATTAACTTTCCTCCTAAAGCAGTCAGTAGCTTGGAGGCGTCTCTATTTTTGGGATGGCCTTTTAACCAGTATCACTTTGCATTCATCTCATGGAAAAGATCCTTCGGATCTATAATTTATGCGGTAGCTTGAATTATAACGATGTAGGTCTGACCCTATCTTTTATTTTTGCATAAAATTATTCCAGGATGTTATATATTTATATACATTCAGTCTAAATCTACAGGGATCAATATATATAGCATCAATGCCTCTGCTGAAAGCTGCTCATACAGCTAAGAAAAAGGACTTTCTTATGTAAACTTATTACCATTGTCTAAGTGGACTAGATTTGCACAGATTTGCATTTTCAGCATGACAATGGATACTAACTGTTATCTGTGGATAGATTTGGGTATCAGCCTGTTAACCAATATCTAGTTTGCAATGAGGCTTATTAATGCCTTAGAATTATGAAATTAAAAGAGGGGTTGATCCCACATTCTGGCAGAAAATTTAGGAAATTCAGTTGGGAGATAGTTAATAAAATAACAATAAAGATTCATATTATTGCTAATAATTTTGTGTATTGCAAAGATAAAAAGTATTGAGATACTGTCCAGGTTTACATGAAAGAAAACTTGCTTTCACTGGATTAAAGAACCCATCAAAAGTAAAATTGCTATATTAAACAAATCATAAATCATAAATCCAGAATGTCTTTTTTTGCATAGTCAGGTACAGTTATATTAAAAATTCTAGATTTGAGTTTCCTAAATAGAAATGTGGCCTAATTCAATTTCAGGATTTTATTTCACTCTCTTGCTGTCCGTTCTGTTTCTATAAAGTTTGTCATCCGACTTGAATTTTCATGTTGATGTTGAGAAAATTGAGAGGAAAAGTCAATTATCTACTGTATATGCAAAA